GGAACCGCATACAATTCGGGCCCTCGCAAGAGTGTTCGTCGGGGTAACCCAAAGTGACCTGGAGACGCCGTCGGGAGATCCGGGAAGAGTTTTCTTTTCTGTATAAGCGTTCGAGTTCCCTGGAAACCTCTAGCAGGGAGATAGGGTTTGGAACGCGAAGAGCACCGCAGTTGCGGCGGTGTCCGGATCTTCCCCTCGGACCTTGAAAATCCAGGAGAGGGCCACGTGGAGGTGTCGCGCCGGTTCGTACCCATATCCGCAGCAGGACTCCAAGGTAAAGAGCCTCTAGTCGATAGACTAATGTAGGTAAGGGAAGTCGGCAAATTGGATCCGTAACTTCGGAATAAGGATTGGCTCTGAGGAGCGGGGCGTGTCGGGCTTGGTCGGGAAGTGGGTCTGGCTGACGTGCCGGGCCTGGGCGAGGTGAACTCGTTCCCCTCGAGGGGATGAGGGATCAGAGCTCGGTACCGTGCCTTGGCCTCCCACGGATCTTCTTTGCTGCGAGGCTTTCGGAGCGGTTTCTCCGTCCCGATCGTTCTCTTCGGCCGCCATTCAACGCTCAGCTCAGAACTGGCACGGACTAGGGGAATCCGACTGTCTAATTAAAACAAAGCATTGCGATGGCCCTCGCGGGTGATGACGCAATGTGATTTCTGCCCAGTGCTCTGAATGTCAACGTGAAGAAATTCAAGCAAGCGCGGGTAAACGGCGGGAGTAACTATGACTCTCTAAATCCTGGGCCCCAGGGGCTCCCAAAGTACCTATGGAGAGAACAACGATTTCCACGTATTTGCGTAGTTGCGGGGCTGGAGAAAGAGGGTTGTGGTTGCCCCTCGGTTGGTGGCAAAGTTAGCCGCTGACCGACCCGAAGTGAGTGTCTAGTTCCTTTGAACGCTTGCTAGCACTCGCATGTGCGGATGTGCAAACCTCTACGTGGTGGGGCCGGGGATACGCTCAGAGCTCGCTCTGAGTAGGCTAATTGTGCAACGCTACAGTTGACTCTGGCAGTCTTTACGGTTGCCATGGAAAACTAAAGTTAAGAACGAAGGTTGTTGAGCTGGGGACTACGGTCCCCAGCTAACCGTCTCGTACGGCGAAGGTATGACTTGGAAACAAGTCATATGAACGGATAGTCAACATCTCTTCTTCGGGTGGCGGAATGCGGCCCGCTTAACGATCATGATGCGCATTGCGTGCACCATTGGCCGACCGCGAGGTCGGCTGGGGCACGTTGTGCAAAATTTTGGTCGGGCGGCGGGTTCGTGTTTAGCTATCTGGATGAGGAGGCTCTGTCGGAGGAGCCAGCTGGAATTTCCAGTAGTATATTTCTACCTTTCTCAAATGAGCTACAACAACAGTAATGCCTCGGAGGCGCCTGGGGTGGGTGCTGTGCGGAGACGCGCAAATCCCGCGGTCCGAGCCCCAGCCGTCGGGGAGTTTAACCCACATGGCAGGACCACAGAAAGGTGGCCGATCATGGAAAAGTCCATCCATAAGATCGGAGTACCATTCGGGGCACCAACATCTTGCCCCGAATGTTTAAGAGCTGGCTCGGCTCGTCTATACATCAAACCACAGGAACTTGCATGGCATATAGACGAGCAGCACCTGAACGTGAAAGCTAAATGGGAATGTTCAAGGTGCGCAGCCGTGTTTGACAGATGTCACGGCTGGATTGTTCACTGGTCGAGGTGCAAGGACACGAGTGAACAAGAAAGTATAACACACGCTTTTCGCTGTACGGTTTGTGAAAAGTCTTTCAAAACCAAAAGCGGCCTGTCGCAACATGAGCGACATGAGCACCCCGAGCTTCGCAATGCCAAGCGGGTGGCAGAGGCGAGCAAAGAACACAAACCAAAG